ATCTGGCAACTGAGGTACTACAGGAAGTATATCCTGGGATTTTTCCTGACACTGTGATAACAAGGTCACAAAGCCACCAGTTGGAACAAAAGGAGAAATCCAAGAATATAGATATGGAAGTTGGAGTAGAATTATCAGATACCATATTTGATCAAATGGTTGAGAAAAAACAAGAACAGCTGGAGGACAAAGTGGATATTTTTAGTTCAGAGAAATTAACTGAGTTACAACACAAGATGAAAAACTGAAGCAATTGTATCGAAAAGTGTACACAGAAGAAGAATCTGAGTGTATTCCCAAATGTTACTACCATAAAAATGATGGATTGATGAGGAAATGGAGAACGTCACATTTTTAGGCAGATGAGAAATGGGCAGAAGTTCATTGAGTTGTATCACCAAAGAGTTATGGAAGGGAAGTGTTGCGGTAGCACATGGATTACCAATAGGAGGTCATTTAGGAGTGAGGAAAAACTCCTGCCAAAATACAAAAACACTTCTACTGGCCTGGACTACATAAAGATATAATTGAATTTTGCAAGACATATCATGCATGTCAGGTAATCAGAAAATCTCAGGCAGTACTAAAACCAGCACCTTTAATACCTATTCCTCCATTTGAGGAACCTTTTGCAAGGGTCTTAATTGATTGTGTAGGACCCCTACCTAAAACAAAGTGAGAATCAGTATTTATTGACAAAATGGATGTGTCTTCTAGATTTCCAGAAACCATTCTATTACCCAAGATCATGGCTAAAAGGTTTGTAGAAGAGTTACCAAATTTTTCACTAGATATAGACTACCTACAGAGATATGATCGGATCAAAGGTCAAATTTACATCAAAATTATTCAGGAAAGTAATGGATAGCTTAAGAATAAAACAATTCCAATCCAAAATTGCAGGGAGCATTAGGAAGGTGGCATCAAACTTTAAAGACCATGTTGAGGGCTTATAGTCAAGACTGTGTAGATGATTTAGATAAAAGAATTCTATTTGTGCTTTTTGTCATTAGGGATGCACCAAATGAATCTACCAAATGTAGTCCATTTGAATTAGTTTTTGGGCATGAGGTGAGAGGACCACTGAAATTAATTAAGGAGAAATTAGTGAGTCAGAGTTAAGAAACCACATATTTGGACTGTGTGTCAAATTTTAGGGAATGATTAAATAGAGTAGGGGAGTTGGCTAAACAGCATGTAAAAGTGTCACAGTATGTAATGAAACAGGAAGCAAAGAAATTGAAAATTTGCAATTTTGCTAATGGAGATAGTGTTAGTGTTACTTCCAGTAATAGGTGAACCTTTAAAAGTAAGGTTTAGTGGACCTCATCAAATCAAAAGGAGATTGAGTGAGGTGAATTATTTGATAAGGTCTCCAGATAGAAAGAAATCTGAGTGTATCATGTGCATATGCTCAAGAGGTATTTTGATAGGGAAGGAAAACAAAAGGAGAATGTGTTACTAGTTACAATACAGAGTGAAGAACCAAGTTCAGAGGATTCTGAATTGGACATCCCTCAAATTATATTGGACAGTGAGTAAGTTTTCAAAAATTGGAATTAATTATTGAGTTACCTTCCAGAGGAAAATTGAAATGACCTGAAATAGTTATTACTACTGCATGGGGAGACATGTGGGAGTAAGCTGGGAAGTACTAATTTATTTATGCATGATGTAGATATAAGAAATGCTGTTCCAATTAAGCAACATCCTTATAGACTTAACACTCTAAAGTTGGCACAAGTTCAAAAATAATTGAATGAATGCTCAAAGTCCTCATAATCAAAGCGAGTTGTAGAGACTGGAGTTCACCCGTAGTAATGGTACCAAAACCAGATGGTATCCACAATTATGTATAGACTATTGCAAAGTCAACGCATTTACAAAGTTTGTTCATATCCTAGTCCACATTTGGAAGACAGCATTGAGAAGGTGGGCCAAGCAATTTATATTTCTAAGTTGGACTTACTCAGAAGATACTGGCAAGTACCTTTTATCCGAAAGAGAGAAGACAATTTCGGCTTTCATAACACCGAATGGACTATACCAATTTAAAGTCTTGCCACTTGGTATGAAAAACGATTGAGCCACATTTCAAAGACTGACCAATAAAGTCATTTCTGGATTGCCTAATTTATGGTGGACATCAATGACATGGTGATTTTTAGTCACACATGGAAGGAACATTTGCAACATTTATTGTAATTATTTGATTGATTTTGGGAGGCAGGCTTGGCGATAAACCTGGCTAAGAGTGAATTTGCAAAAGCCCAAGTCACATTCCTGGGCCATGTTATCGAACATGGACAGGTGGCCCCGCGGAATGTGAAAATAAAGGTTATTGGGGAGTTTCCCATACCGTTGACAAAGAGCGCAGTACTACGATTCCAGGGATTGAGTGGGTTTTAAGGGAAGTTTGTACCAAATTATGGTTGTTCCACTAACTGACTTATTGAAGGAATGCAGCAAATTTCAGTGGATGGCAGACTGTCAGAAGGCATTTGACAGTGTGAAAGCTGTGCTAACCACTGCCCCAGTAGTAGCCACACCTAATTATGCAAAGACATTCAAGATGGCTATCGATGCAAGTGATGTGGGTGTCAGTGATGGACCCTTACAAGAAGATGGCGAGACATTAGGAAGACCTATCGGGTATTTCTCCAGGTAATTGAATATTCACCAACAGAAATATTCCACAATTGAGAAAGAGACCTTGAGCTTGGTGTTGGCATTGCAATATTTCAGCATTTATATTGCCAGTAATGAGTCTGAGACAGTTGTATATACTGACCATAATTCAATAAAGTTTTTGGAGAAACTTAAGGACAAAAATTCCAGCCTCTTGAGATACAGCTTATTATTGCAGCCATTCAATTTGAAAATTATACACGTGGCAGGAGGAGAAAATATAATTGCCGACACATTGCCGCGACTTGGATGAAGAAAGATGGAGGCATTCGGTGGCAGAAGTAGACGGACTGAAATAGAATATAGTAGTGAATGTTTGCATGGCTAGAGTCAAAGTAATGTATACATATTGTAGTGTAGTAATGGAGTAAGGCTATGATGAAGCCTATTGATGGTTCATTCTTTTTTTAAGTGGGGAGGTGTGATGATGCTGTCACTTTTAAACAGTTATTTTGTCTTGGGTTTTTTTGAAGAGAGGTTGTAAAGTCAGAGATGCTGAAAATGGCTACAAGAGACTGCCTAAATCAATGATCAGAGGAGGCCTTTAGGTTTTTATTTAAACAATTGTACACTGGAAGGGGAGTGGCCAGTTCTCCCAGTTCAGGCTTTCTACCTTTTTTTTAAGCTGTAGCAGTCACAAGATGTTTGAGTCCAGAAGGGTTGCAAGCTTCAGTAAGTGATTCCCAACTGACTTTCTCTGAAATCTCTCTGGATGTTGTTCCCTCCTGCCTATAAGAATCTGTGTCTAAATTTACCTTTTAGCCAGGGGGTGTGTTTATGGGATGTCACTATATTGGAACAGTTAATTAGTTAAGTTACTATATTGAGTATTCAGTTAAGGTTTCCAATAATTAAGTTATTCTAAATTCCGCTTTCTTTTGTTGGTGTTTTAACCGTAGTGTTTAAATAAATTGTGTTTTGCTTAAAGCCAAGTGGTTTGACCAATTGCATCACACCTGGAACACCCACTTCAGATCTACTTTTAAAATAAGAAAAAGTTAGGGTCTAGGCTACCTTCTGAAAATATTTTGAGGGGGCCTGGCCTGGTCCATAATAACCTCCACTTCAGGAGCTCCTTACAATGTGTTTTAATTATATTTTTAGTAATGTAAATTAGCATTCACTGTTAATTACATATCAATTGGGTGTTTAGTTTATTCAGCTGGTGGGTATTAATTGGTGTCTCGCCTGTGTTTTATATGTATCCTTTTCTTCTCGGACAGTCCCTCGATTGAGGATGACTTGCTTCAGTCTGGTTTGACGAATTCAGAGATGGCTGAGCAGTCCAGTGTGCAACCTACAGACCTTCTCCGGCTAATGTTCCCATGAGTCAATAATAATGTGTGACCTCTTCAGGGTAATTTGGGACCATCCCTAAAGCCTTTCCACTGTCCTACTGAGAGCATCCTGACATGACTGAATTCTCAACAACCCTTTGAGAGAAAATTTTCTCCTCATCTCTGCCCTGAAAACTTTATTTGGGTGAGGATGATGTTGTTGAACTGCATTTCTTGCCACCTGATTTGGAGGATCTTAAAAAAGGCGCCATGAGTGGCATTTCTCCGGTAATTTGAGATGTCATTGTAGGTTGTCCAAGACTCCAAGCATTTAGAAGTGGGCACCACTGATTTGATTTATTATTATCACATGTACCTAGGTACAATGAGAAGTTTTGTTTTGCGTGCAGTACAGGCAGATCGTACTATATAACGTGCATTTAGGGTAATAGAACAGAGTGAAGAATACAATATTACGACTGTAGTGAAGGTGCACAAGGAGCGATATCAACATTTAAATTTAAAATTTGAGAAGTCCATTCAGATATCTGATAACAGCGGGAAAGAAGCTGTTCTTGAATATGTTGGTAAGTGTGTTTTAAGCTTTTTTGATGCCGATAAATCAGGTACCTTCGCCTCAGTGTAAGATTCTGATCTTCAGATACTCTTTTCTTCAACTGGGTAAAGGCTGAGCTGTCACACTGGAAGCAATATGTATAGGTGCAGGGTTTTGTTTAGATGTGCTTGTGCAATATGTGTTACTGTAAATAAAGTAAAGTAAGTGAATTAAAACCTATATTCCGATATCTTTCTTTCACCACTTCGCCATCTGCATTTCAATACAGTAGTCCTTTTTTGGCTGACTTTGAAGTAATATTTTTAATTTTTTCCACCAAACTCCAAATATTATATGAACGTCAACAAAATTTCTTCCTAGCTTGTACCATTCTAGGCTACAACAATTGATCTTCTTTCATTAGTTATCTTTTCTCATTTGCATCAGTTTTGTTGCTTTTCTTTGCTTTTTCACTTTAGCCTTCATATGCTTTATATTTCTATTCATTTGTGTGACATGGGTGTCACTGGCTGGCCAGCATTTCTTGCCCATCCCTAGCTGCTCTTGAGAAGATGGTTGTGAGCTGCCTTCTTGAACCGCTGCAGTCCACGTGCTGTGGGTTGACCCACAATGCCCTTGGAGAGGGAATTCCAGGATTTTGACCCAGCGACAGTGAAGGAATGGTGATATATTTCCAAGTCAGGATGGTGAGTGGCTTCGAGGGGAACTTGAGGTGGTGTTGTTCCCATATGTCTGATGCCCTTGACCTTCTAGATGGAAGTGGTTGTGGATTTGGAAGGTGCTGTCTGAGGATCTTTGGTGAGTTTCTGCAGTGTATCTTGTAGATAGTACACACTGCTGCTACTGAGCATGGGTGGTGGATGGAGTGAATGTTTGTGGATATAGTGTTAATCAATCGGGCTGCTTTGTCCTGGATGGTGTCAAGCTTCTTGAGTGTTGCTGGGGCTGCACTCATCCAGACAAGTGGGGAGTATTCTATCACACTCCTGACTTGTGCCTTGTAGATGGTGGACAGGCTTTGAGGAGTCAGGAGGTGAGTTACCAGTTGCAGCGTTGCTATCCTCTGACCTGCTCTTGTAGCCACTGTGTTTATGTGGTGAGTCTAGTTTGAGTTTCTGGTCAACGGTAACCCCCAGGACATTGATAGTGGAGGATTCAGTGATGATAACACCATTGAATGTCAAGGGTTCGTGGTTAAATTGTCTCTTATTGGTGATGGTCACAGCCTGGAATTTGTGTGCCATGAATGTCACTTACCACTTGTCGGCCCAAGCCTGGATGTTGTCCAGATCTTGTTGCATTTGAATGCAAACTGTTTCAGTGTCTGAGGAGTCATGAATGGTGCTGAGCATTGTGCAATCATCAGCGAACATCCCTACTTCTGACCTTATGCTGGAGGGAAGATCATTGATGAAGCAGCTGAAGATGGTTGGGCTGAGGACACTGAGGCATATGGGGTATATGGACCCTTTAAAAAAAATTACAAAGGTGAAATCCGTCTTTACAGCCCTTGCCAGCTAAAAAGTAGGATTTATCTACATTGGAAAACATTAAACTTCACTCGCGTGTCATTGAAGAAATGTCACTGATTATCACTTGGCATAAAAGTCATCCACCTGCCCTTCTTCATGTCAATCCATTACAAATAATGAGTGCCTATGAAACTTGTAATGAAACAAACAAAAAACATAAAAATATGTTGCGGTTCTGCATATTATAATCTAAGTACAATATTATGTCTCTATCATATTGTTGATAACTATATTTCATAGTATGTTTATGTTACAATCTCTGAGGATTTGTGAACAAATGATCACAGTTTAATCTCTATAATTGCATATTGAGAGTAAAGGTATTCTGCATGATTCTTTATTGCTACCTAGAACACCTATCCAATGCGATATCCTACATGTCATATTGCATGGACTTATTATGATCATGATAAAAATGGACTATCAATTTTTGACTTGCATCATCTGGTTTTAATACATGAGACCTTCAGAAACTAAAGGGAAGACAAACTCTGATTTAAAGTGGCTGCAGTGGTCGTCTGACCAGATTAAACTAAGTTCATGAAACCATCAATAAACAAGGATCAGTCTGAGCCTGAATTAACATCTTTATCAAAGGACATTGAAAAACAAAGCTATATCTCCTGGTTTGTTGACACTTTTCTGGAAGCTTTACATACTGGGATGAAAGTTGCCTGTAGATTATCTATTCTGTAAAAAAATTAAAGCCATTAGAAAGGAGGTGGTGGAGGTCTTAAAACATATAAAGGTAGATAAATGCCTAGGACCTGGTCAAGTGTATTACAGCATGTTGTGGGAAGCTGGGAAAGAACTTGTGGGGCACCTAGCAGAGATATTTGTATCATCGACAGCTATGGGTGAGGTGCCAGAAGACTGAAGGGTGGTTGATGTTGTGCCATTATTTAAGAAAGGCTGCAAAATAAAGCCAGGGAACTATAGACTGGTGGGTTCGTCATCAGTGGTGGGTAGGTTGTGGAGAATATTCTGAGAGACCGGATCTGCGTACATTTGGAAAGGTAAGGACTGATTAAGGATAGTCAGTATGGCTTTGTGTGTGGGAAATTGTGTCTTAGAAATTTGTTTAAATTTTTTGAAGAGGTGACCAAGAAGAAAGATGAAGGCAGAGTGGTAGATGTTGTCTATGTGGACTTTAGCAAGGCATTTGACAAATTTCTGGTACACTGATTAGTAAGGTTAAATCACATGGGATCCAGGGAG